GTCAAGACACACGCACAGAGCATTTCAGTGTAGATAGTTTAAGGCAATTTTTACATAAAAAATACATAGGAAGCACTTAAAAACTTGTGACTGTTTTCTGTTTTGCAGCTCATGATTCAGGTTTTTTGAATTCTCTTTACATCTCTATTTGGATGCGTTCCAAACTACTTAACTAATAGTCCTAGGAACCTAAATTACCAGCGCCATACAGCCTTAAATTAAGCTCTACAGCAAAACCCATCATTCAAGCTATTCAAATACCTCAGCGTGCCTGGATTTGAGACAGGTTATATGCAGCATTTATCCCACCACACAGATTTCTCTGTATCTTATGTGACCAAAACAATGCAATGAATATGGGTTCTGTTTGGTTTAATTAAGTTATTTCTTTATTCTCCAGGAGCCTTGATGCAGCAACTTTATTAAACATTCCACCATAAAACCATGCTTATGTGGGTAAGTATAGGTCATTACATAGCAATACTGAGAGCTACAAAGACATTCAGGTAAATAAGTTATTGATTTAGTTTCTAGCTTATCTACCTTGTAAAAATGTTTTTAGATCAATGGATGAAAAATATTTAAAGATTTTTTTTTCAAAAGCAGCACTTGATTGTAAGGCATTTTCTCAAATTTGAATGGCCTGCTTTCTAGCTACATTTCCTGTGATTAAAGCATGAGAGCTTTTGGTAAATCGCTAGCTCATGTTTCATCCAACAGTTCTACAACAATGTTTAGCTTGGCCAAGAATGGATTTATCTTTGAGATAAATCCATCCTGCCTCTTACTTAGTGAGAYGCTTTCATTGCCTTATGACTGTTGAGCGGCTGAGGAGCCTTGCCCGGAACAGGCCCTTCAGTTGTGTCCTGTTCAGACAGGGGATGCACCAGCCATGGGCTTGTCTCAAACGCCACTCCTGAGAGCTGCTGCTGGAGCCAGCCTGTTTGCTGCGCTTGGTCTGCTAGGTCTGAGAAGGCAACCTCTGCTAGGTCACTTCACAGGTCCCAAAGCAACCATAAAAACTACCGCATCATAAAAAGACTCCCTTATCTTCTGTCTGATTGTCTGCTGAACCAATGCAAAGCTAAATTAAGTGCTGGAGAACTCTGAAGGCTGAGGACTTAAATCTTCCAGTAGGTATCAACTAACTCCATGTATCCAGAAGCTTTTTCTCCAGCTGACCTATGTTGCATACCTTACTGACAGGCAGAGATTCTTATGGATAAACTACTCTCCTGTTCTCTTGAATTAAGTATAATGTAGGTTTCAAATGCTATTTTAAAYTTACATATAGCTAAGTATGATGATTAGTTAGAAATTAATAAAGATTAATCCTTTGAAGGTCTTATGAACCTACCAATGATGTTAYTTGACTAGCTAAAGAAAACTATGCCATCTCACTGCCTTGTATTCASAGATCAGGTTCTGCAGCTGAATACTGAGAAAGACAAAGACTTTATGTGACCCTCTCTACCAGTTGTCATCTGCTGAAGTCTGTTAGTGCTTCATGACACTGACTGCAAACACAAACTGCAAACGCTAGTTTGTGTACAATAGAGGATCACGAAAGAGAGAAGACAGCTGACATTTCTGTGCTTTTTCTGTCTCCTGTTAAGTCTGCTCTRGCACCTCTTCTGCCCGTTGGCATTGACTTTCCAAGTCACCTTGGCAGTCCAAGRCCTTTCCTCAGAGAGACTGTGTTTTTACCACTGAATACGTCCACACAGTCAATATTAACTGGAGAAATCCCCTTCAAGACCAAACACAGTGTAAACATATTAGCATAGCACTAAGGTGAATATTCCTTATCTCTTAGTTCACCTAACATCACATGACAATCTAGTTCTCATTTGATGCAAACTTACAGTTTGGCTGACTGAGGGTGAGAATCAAAATGAGCTCACATCTGTCTATACCCTATTTCTCCTGTCACRGTCAGCCAAAGTGACATTGGTGACACAGCTAGCAAGAATGGCATCCACCTATGGAACTAGATCATGGTGATGAAATACTTTCTTGCTTTTAATCTTGTTGATGGTTTTCTAAAGACCTGCTGGATACTCACATCCAACAAAACACAGTAAAGTATGTCAACTCATTATAGGATAATATGCACAATAGTTGACAACAGATACCCAGCAAGGAATATATGGACTAAATTTGCATTGAGATGCTACTTCTACTAACACTTAGGTGCTTTGCTTTCAGAGTGAAAACTAAAGGCTAACGGCAKAAAGAAACCATAAGTAAGTGTCCAAAGTTTTCACAGATCCGAAGTCTTTTCAGACTGAGTGGAGCTCTGTAAAACTACCAGTAAGAAACGTCAAGTAAGGAGCTGTCTGAAGTTTCAACCTCTAGAGACTGGATACTCTGACTCCACATTGCAGGAACACTCCAGATTGCAGGAGCTCAGCATCTGACTTTCTCCCTTTGTAGGCAAATGATTTAACTGCTAAGATATGTAAATGAAACACAATGAGTCCTTGTTACCTTGCTGTGATGTTTTCAGCTGCCACATGTAGCTAGGTAGCCTACATCTGCTCAATCATTTATATTATATCAAACTCCTTCAGGATTTAGGACCTCGATCTTATTTGGCTTTATGCACTTACCTCTGCAGCTAAATGTCACTGAGTACACAGGAAGGCAGAACCACGGCCAGGGATATGTAGATCTAACAGAGAAGTAACCAGGTTTAGGCAGATACAGCAGAATAGTTGCTAAGGATTTTTTTTTTTTTTTTAAATTAGCCTTTGACCTTTGCTACTTAAAGCATCCCCACACTACTTGGAATTATTCCCTATATTAAAAGGACTGGAGATTTTTCAGGAAATATTATTAATCAGAGAAAGTGATAGGCATGTCTATGTGAGTAGCTCTTTGTGCTGAGACCTGTGTCTCAGGATAACATGAGTCAGTGCACACTAAATTACAAGCTTTGACTTCTAATTTACAATTCTAGCTAATTATCCTCCTCCTCCAGTATTGTTAACTTACTCAAAATAAATAAGTAAATGGAATTTGGCAGCTATCTCAGTTAAAAACATGGATATTGTATTTCAGAGACTGCTAGTAGTATAACTTTCAGTTCATACGTACAAAGAACTACGAAACTTCCTTGGTTCATTTTTATTTGACTTACTTCCTTGGTTCATTTTTATTTGTTTTCAATTCATTTTTTTAGAATGTATTGCTGTTAGCCAACATAAACCTAGCATCTAGAAACTTAATTTAATAAGGAGAAACAGAAAACTTTTAATAGCATTTCTCCTAGCAAGTTACTGGGAATCTTGACAATTCCCATGAAGAAGCCAACAGGAAAGCAGATATTTAGAAAAGCTGATATTTAGAAAAGTTACAACAAAATCTAGTACTCTGTAAACAACTGCTTGCAAAAAGCTGTGCTATTAATATTTCCTGTACTGTATAGGTTATATAGCTTATCTTGTACTCTTGAATATTTCAAGTACATGCACAAACATTTGTGTCTTCACATTCTTTTGCCTATAATCTTACACTACACTTTCAAGGGAAAGCAGCAGTTTTCACAGGACAGAGTTTGGCCACATGGCTCTATAATGAATTTTCCCATACTCTGTACATTACAGAAAAAAATAGCAAAAATGTTGGTTGGGTCTCTATTCTAAACCATTCCTTTGTAGATATGAGATACTCAAAGTCCTTATCTGCTCTGATAGTTAAACTAACATCTAACAGAATGAGGTAGAGCCAAATACATTGGGGACTGCATGTATAGCGCCTATACACACCTCCTCTCCTCTCCACTCCTAGGCCGTTCCCTAAAAGGCCTGTGATAAGAGTATGCCCCATGGACACTCGAGAGCCAGAGCAGGACCATTATTGGAAACTGTAGCTTAGTATTTACATTTAAGAAGATGAAGGAGATATCTACAGTAATGCATCTGACATCATTAATACGCAAGATTTTAGGACAAGCTTATAACAGAAAATATAGAAGTGAATGAAATGGGACATTTATTTTGGTATTCCAAGCAGAAGGGAAAAAAAAAAAAAAAAAAAAAAGCTATTTCAGTACTTCATTTAGGCTCCTGCCTGGCCTCTCTCATCTTCTGCAGCCAGGCAGAAGAAGAACTTCTCTGTGTTTCTGGTACGGATCTTACTAGTCTCTTCTCAGGGAAGGAAAAAAAAATTCCTCCATGGAGTTTTTACATTTCCCAAACATATTTTCAGATACTTCGTTCAAAAAAAGCAAGAAGTTACAGGGCCATCCCTAACCCTGACACAAAACACAGACTGAGCCTTATCTTTCCATCAGCCTGTTTTTGTAGTTCACCTCTCTTTAGGTGTGCCAAATAGCTCATTTACCAGATCCTCCTCCAGGTGCAGCCATAAATGCTAATTAAAGTCACAGGTATTTGTAAATCTTTTCTATGCCAATGTAAAATACTATAGGGTTGGGTTTACATCTGATCACATATAGCTTAATGGCACAAAGTTCCTAACTCATCCATCTTCCTTGGTTTTTTTTTTTTTTTTTTTTTTTTTTTTTTCCTGAGAAAAAGGAAGAGCATGAGAACTAACCAGATTTTTATTTGATATAATGCGAGCTGGGCAAATTCTCAGTTCAGTGGAGGAAAACGCGGATTATTTGAAGAAACATATGGAACCGGTTAAAGGGAAAGCGGTCAGTTACGTGGAGGGAGCATGTTGGGCTGGAGGAAAGTTCTCGACAAACTTTGCCGCTCAGGACTGGTCTCGTTAATGTTTCCACCTTGATACCAAAAGCAGCTATGTGGCTTTGTGGTTTCTAGGACGGGGAGGGACCGAGGGGCCGCCGCGGCGGGGGGCAGCGTAGAGCGAGGGGCGGGCCATGGTGAAGGGAAGGCGGGGAGGGAGGAAGGCGGAGAGGTGCCGGAAGCGGCTGGATGTGGGAGCCCGCGGAGCGCCGCGGTCGGCATGTAGTTGGGTGACAGCGGGCGCAGCGCGGAGGGGTCGGGCGGGCGGGCGCTGCTGCGGCCATGGGGCTGCCCACGCTGGAGTTCAGCGACTCCTACTTGGACAGCCCGGACTTCAGGGAGCGCCTCAAGTGCCACGAGATCGAGCTGGAGAGGACCAACAAGTTCATCAAGGAGCTCATCAAGGACGGCAGCCTCCTCATCGGCGCGCTGCGCAGTGAGTGCGGAGCGGCGGCGCCGGGGCCGGGGCCGGGTGCCCGCCGGGGGCTCCTTTTGTTTGAATGGGCGCCGGGAAAGGGCTCCCCTGCCGGCGGCCCGCGGGAAAGGGGGCCCCGGCCGCCCCCTCCTGCCAGGAGCGGCGGGAGGCGCCGCGGGGTCCCCCGGGGACGGGGCTGCCTGCGGCAAAGGGGCGAGGCAGGGCGCCAAAGGGCCCTAAATCCGCTAAAATGCGCTCAAAGCTTCCCCCCCACCCTTGTTGCTTTTCCCAGTTTTATTGGAATAGCTCGAATTTTCTTTCGGAAGGTCCTCGGGATGAGGCTGGGCGCTTTGGTTCTTCCGGGGGCTCTTGGAGCTTCTCGGAGCGCAGCCTGCGCTGGCTGAGGAGCGAGAGGGGACAGCGAAGAGCCACCCGCCTCGCTTAGCTCGTCCTCCTGGCCTCCGCTCCTGCTGCCTCCTCCTTGTCCTTAACTTGCTCCCAAAGGCTCTAACCTGGTGCCTGGCAGGGCASGGGGTGGCACGTGTGGCTTCTTGCATCACTGAACATCGTCGAAGTGTTCAAGGAAATCCTCTCTAAAATCCCCTCTTTAAGTCACCTCTTTAAAAGAGTCCTTAACCCACCGTGTTGGCTCGCCAGGCCACTGTTTGTAAGCGTTGCTCTTGTGAAAACACGAATCAGGTGTTAGCACAAGCCCTAACACCAGCACTGGGCCTGGCTGGCAGCAGCCCGGCCTCCAAGCCTGAAGCTTTGCTCTTTCCAAGGGGCAGGAGGTCAAACTGGGAGCTCCTGCTTGCCTGATACCTGGCTTGGACACGAACCGTGCTCGTGTGTGCGCATCCCTGCTCCGTGAACACTTTGCATGTGGTGGTGTCTCCACAAAAAAGAGCTGCGGGCTCTTTGAGAATTTCCGTGCAAGTCTGAATGTTTTTAGACATGTCTATTTTARGGAATGGCCTGGGTACAAGTCTTACATTTTATGCGAATTTACATTAATTTCAGTAAGCCAGTGCTTGCAGAGTCTGAGATGATAGTTGATATWGGGAAAAAATGTGGGCATAACAAAAGCTTGATAGCACATTTTTCTTTCCAGAGAAAAGAAAATAACTTTCCAAAACCCAGGTTATTTAAGCTTSTTTAAAGTAGCATAAAGTTTAAGTCATGAAATTAAAAGTTTTACTTCAAGTTTTGCAAAAGGTTCTCAAGCTACTTCACACGTGGATCTGTTCTGTGAGAGGGCACACGCAAATAGTAGCGGCAGGTTAGGGTACCCCCGGAGAAGCCAGTCCTGYCCTGAACTAGCACTCGGAATTGACGGTGTGTTTTTGTTCCCAGCCAAATCAAGCATGAACAGGATCCCTTCAGGTTGTCAGAGGCAGCTCTACAATGAATGTTGCTCCTTTGTGCATGTGGGAGTAATATGGGCAGCTTCTGGAGTGAGTAGTTGCGTTATCTTCATAAGGACAACTTGCAAGCCCTCACTTAGACTGTGTGTACAGACATTCAACAACTCYGCCCTCATTTTAGAGGGATAAGCAATGCTTCTGTCCCAGGTAATTAATACTCACCCTGCAAATTCCGAATTTTAAAATTACAGGCACTGTTTTGTTTGATGTGGTGCCTATTATATCCTATGTACAACTTCTAAAATGCTGTGTGCAGCACTGTCTTTAAATCTTCAGTGACTAAACTCTGTTGTGGTATAGAAACGTATTTTTCTTCATATTCATTTCCAACCCTTTAGTTTTGAAACTATGCCTACCAATGACCTGATATTAGGATAACTAGAGAAATTTCTGATACACTGTACAGACAGGTGTAGGTAGTGCAAGGTGTGTGTGCATCTGTGYTGGCAAGAAGCACGAGTTTGTTTCCTAAAGTAGAGGACTTCTGCCTACTCCACTTGAGCTCAGCTTTAAAATGAGTGTAGAATAAAGTTATACAAGGCCATTTTTAATTTGAAAATCCAGTCAAACAATAGAATATATAGTTAATTTCTGTGGTGAATCTTGGTGATTTATTCCTTGAAAATGTAACAACCTACAACAGTCTCTGGAGACCGGCAAGCTTTGTTTACTGTGTTTTATCTCTTTAGATAATCTAGAGTTTTTTCATTTGCATATCCCTTTGGAGGGTCATTTTGATTAGGGGAAGGTTTAAAACTGCTGCAGAGCTTCAGCTGAAACAGATTTTGGAGCATATTCATTCCTGATCACTTACAAGAGGGAGAGTTTGATGTAATGCACTTTGTAAATACTATCATCTTTTACCTTGTCTAAATATAAGATATTTTTCAGATGGAACTAAACTTCTACATTGATAGTTTCAGAATATTTGCTATTATTTGAAGAAATAGCTATACAAATATAATGTTTAAAAATACTTAACAAGAGATTMCACATAATTTGAAGCTAGAACCAATGTACTTAATGTAGAATGTAAACATCTTGAAGCCCCACTGTTGCAGTGGTCCCAGGTTAAGGTCACACCTTATTTTAATRTGGTTCAGCAACATTAATTCTTGGGAATCCTGCTTTCCAGGGTAATTCTAAGATGCTAATCCTGGGCTGTGAAACAGTAGTTGAGTTTTGTGAGTGCTGTATGTAAGAGCTGATAACTCTGATACTGCCAGGATTGAACTTGAACAAGCAGCTTTTTCCTAACGTATTTTTGCCCTCATTCCTCCTSTTTCTAGGCATGAAAGATTTTTTGAGGGAAGAATACAGGCTGTAGAGTCCAGTTAGGTTGCTTAGGATCACTTGGGTATGTGATGCTTAGTTCAGCCCTGTTCTGCAACSTTGTCCTACAACCAACAACAGGTTGAGACTTTTTTGTTTGTTTGTTTAATGATTTCAGGTACTATGTAAATGGATCTCACTTGAACGGGTGACTGGTCTGCATATAATGGATGTTTCTGTTATCTCAGAAAGTTACATTTCTAGAGAGATTTCATTGCTTATGTGTCGGCCCAATTAAGTAGGATCAACACTCAGTACTGTGATGCCTCTGGAGGAGGGTTCCTTAATGTTCATTAGTTTGCAAGTTGGAGAAGAAAAAAAAAAAAAAAGCTTTCTAGACTGGTAGACTGGTAGACCTGGTAGACTGTTCTGGTAGAACAGGCCTTCTTGATTATTAGGGAACACTTGTTTTGGTAGACAGGTCCYCCTAACATAATATTCAGACATGTCCTTAAAATAGATATGCTGGACCCCTGAATCAGAATTGAAAGTTTTCCTTTCCTTTGATTCCAGCTTATTTTCAGTTGAAACATCAAGGCTTTTTTTTCTCCTGTATTCTTTGTATTATACTTTGTAATTTCTCCCCTTATGGGGGAGGAGGAACTTAGTCTGTGAGGCTTTTAGTTTATATAGAAAATATAAAGAGAACTGTATGGTTTCAGTGTCCATAATAGGCCTGCTGTTCAGCTAAAGATAGTGAATAATGCATTAAATAATACAGAAAAAAAATAAGCATGCTGTGCAGGTGAGCTCCTGGCTTACTCCAATACAGAAGCATTCAGTTTCTCCGCTATGATTTTTGAGGTCTTCTTCTCCATTATAATTCCTGTTGTAGCTACAAGTTCATGCACTCAAAGTGTTAGTTAGGCCTAGTTTGGGATTAAATGGGTGAAATCTCTTTTTTTTTTCAGTTGATTTATGTTGATAAGGCTGTTAAAGCATTGTACTACATTGTAAACAATAATGAAGAACTTTGGCATAATATAAATAACATTTAGGAGATGCTTCTAAGAAAACATAGCTACAAACAGTGCTTATTTTTGTGAGAATTTTTACTAGCAGAATTAGTACCCCAAGTCATTTGTTTTATTTTACTGACTATTTAACACCTTGAGAAATAGGCCCAAGATGGAAATGCCATTTTTTTCCCGCAGAACTCTACCTTTTTTTTTTTTTTTTCTTCCTCTAAGTTTTCATATAAATTCCACACAGAAGAGACTTTGTCCCCAAGCTGTTTCCTTCTGTCATAACCCTAACAGTAAAAGTACAGGGACAAACCTGGCCTTATGCATGGAGGTTAGCTTTCTGGAAGAAAAAATAAAGGCCRAATTACAGCATTAAGAACCAGTGGTTTTGTTATCTCTCTTGAGATTTTTTTTTTCATGCAAAAAACCTCTCTATCTTTTTTGAAAAGATGAATTTTCCCATATAGCTGGGCCTCACATGTTTTCATGTGATTGTATCTTTTAAAATGACTTTTCCAGATTCCAACTGGAGCAGAAGTGAGTTCATTGAATAATAACTGCTGAGTTTCTCCCATTCTCTTTTATTAATATAGAATTAAAGTAAAACCACCGAATCTTAATACTCCATAAGTGATACCGTGATGGCAAACATGGAGTTACAAAAGTACAGCTTCTTGAGAATTTCAGAAATAAAAGCACATTGCCTTTGAAAATGATTGCTTTTATTATTTATTTATTTAAGTTATATAATACAGAAATGCTGAACTCTTTTTGCCTTTCTGCAGATTGGAAAATTTCCAACTAAAAGGAAGTTGAACCTTGGGCATAGTCATGAATATTTCAGTCCTCTGTCGCTTCACTGTTGTATTATTTCTGCTCAACTCCTGCTGATGTTTTGCTCACTTGTGCATTATTTATACAATTTTCAAAACCAGTTTTAAGTCTAGAGGCTTTCGTGCCTAGATACCAATGACAAGCTAATGTGTGACCAGAGAAGGAGTTTAATTACTGCCTCTTGGTTTTGAAGCAACTGTAGTGTGTATAGCATTATCTTTGTCATAATATATATGGAGAAAAAAAAATACTAGCATGAAGTGGTTGGGGAAAGTGTTTTCTGTCCCATCATAGAATGTTTCATTTTAAACCAAGAATTCCTGCAAGTGAATTCCCATGCTATCATTAATGAATACCATGTTAATGAAGTCCTTGAACAACACAACCTGGGTGTTCTGATGCCTTAATATTGAAACAAGTATTCTTCAAAGAAATTTGGCAGGTGGATAATGTCAAGTGAACAGAG